AAAAAGCAGTAGAAGCTGGAAATTAGGCTAAGTATGTTGATTTGAATAGGATTGAAATTTCCCACTCTTTCATTTAGAGCCAGTAAATGTCATTCTACCAAAAAATTCCCTTGGATTTTACAATGTTGGTCTCATATATTTGTGTATTGTGCTTGTCGACAGGTAGGCCAAATTGTGCATTCTTGTTGATGGAGTCAATTTAGAGAAATGTTGTGCAGGAAGAAAAGCTTCAGTTTCATCAAACTCGTTCTTCTAAAGAAAGATTTCGTTTTTAAAAATAACGATATAAAAGCGGTGGCTGAACTCAACAATGCCGTGAGAAAGTTTTTGAAAGAAATAAGTAGAGCACAAACTTCTGCAGCTGCAAATTATATTTTAAATTCTGTATGACTTTCAGTCTCAGCGTGAATCCCAATCGGAGGCGGACGTGGTGTTGAATAGGTATGCACTTGCTTCTTTCCATACACTCTTGTCTACTACTCAAGTCCCATTTGCAGCATCAGGTATAAATTAAGAGGCCTTGCCAAGCGAAAAGAAGAGGAGCATTGCTTGGCCAAACGTACGTTTTGTCCATGTCGATAATAAAAGTTGCTGTATGAAGACGTTAATTGATTTAAGCCTATTAAGCCGTGCAATATGGACAAATGCAATTGAACATTTAATAAAAGAGCAACACAATGCGCATATTATGGGGAAGAACTATTTAGTTCTTAAAGGTATTTGAGTAGTCCTAGGATAAACTGTTTTGTCTGCAAGAGGCGCAGACATAAACTACAGGCACGTAAGCATTCTACTCTGTAGAAGTTCTTTTTTTAACCTGGTCCTTTGCTCAGTCCCATAGTCTACGAATGACATTTAAGCACTTTGCTACTACAACTGGACTACTCGACTCCCTAAATACATGAAAATAATGGTTAGACGAGTGCATTCTTGCACCAGAAGAACTTATTTGACCCTAACGATGGGGAATGGGCAGTGCATATTTGCCGCCCCTCCTCCAATGCAAACACTTCGACAAGTCCATTTTCAATATTCGGTATAATCCGCAGTGCCTTGCATTATCTAGTGACAGAAAGAAGAGGGATTTGACTCCATTTATTTTCTAGTATTAACTGTCGTGCGCATTGCTTCTCAAGAGGAAGCACTATTTTAGGTCTACCATTCAACTGTATGGAGCGGACACACTTCAGCCGTAGTAAGTGTTTGATTTTTAGCGAGTGAGCCATAGATATTGCAGTCTACTACATATTCATACAGTCAAGTGTATGTATGGAGTGATATGGTGGAGCTTGGGAGTGCTGAGTGGGTGGTGAGTGCATCGTTGAGGATGAGTATGGCCACGTGCGTTCGATTAATAGAAGTTGGGTTACAGGCAGTTCCACTAGCCTTTGGAAATAACCCTTTGCTTTAATGCTTATGGGAAAGTAGTTTCATTCTTCACAATCTGTAAAAGTTGTTGTGTTTATCACATCACTTTCACAATTGCTAACAATCAATTTATCCCTGCTGACGTTATCTACCGTGTATAGAAGAAATTGGATGCCTGTGTTATTAGTGCAGTCGGTTTCCTTCCTTCCACCGCAGTGGAAATCTACTCCATAATGGCGGAAATAATGAAAAGTAATTGTGCATTTGCCAACTACAGGTATTGAATGAGTAGATTTAATTTGTCTAGTAAAAGTAAATGCGATAATACTAAAATGAGAGTAATAAATGCAATTATGGGCTCAATTGCGATAATGCAAAGTATGTGCGTTCGCAAAAAGTATACTTCGCCAACTTGAAATGAGTGTCAGAGTGTGTTGTCAAGTAGCATGAATGAACGCTGTTCCACGTAACTACTTTGATAGTATTAAACCAAGCATGTATAGGAAAAGTGTGGGGGAGGAGGAGGACGAGCTAGGCTAACTACCGACCCTTTGCGTACCACCTCTACAGTTTGCTTCTAAGTAGAAGGTAGGTATTTGTAGTAATATCCAACACCCAAATCTTATCTACATTGCACTTAAATGACCATACTTCGAGCTGTATGTAAATTATTTTAAGTGCACCCAATTTTGACTAGTTAGAATTGACTCTCCTCCTCGCATTGATTGTACGCATTCAGTACACATCAGCAGTCAAAGAGGTGTCCATTGTGGATTTATAAATGCA